AACTTTAAGCCGGTGTCTGTGGCGCGCGCCAAGCTGTATCGGGCTTAGTGATGCACGTGTTCAGGAGGTCGGAATACCCTAGGGACTATTTTTCATTCAGATTGTACTCTGAGAAAAACGCTAATAAAAAATTGGCTTGGTTTCGCATGACTGGGGCAGTAAAGTGCAAATAGTGCCCATCCATCTTTCAAGCGGTAATGTAAGGCTCTTATATTTCAGTGACTATGGCGGCGTCTCGTGATGAAGCGGATTATGATTATGCAGGAGAGAATGTTGTCTTCGGAACACCGGAGAAGACAATTGAGAACGAGTTTGAAATCGAAATACAAAACCCACTTCAAGAGGGCGAAACCCCGCCCGATGTTACGGAGGCACCTGCGCATGATGGTGATGCTTCTGAAGCAACGGAGGACGACTTCAACAATTTGACCGACGAGCTTCCAGAACTTGATCCAGATCTGGAAGCTATGGTCGACGATGAGGATTTTGTAGAAATCGACCCGACACCGATATTTTAATCTATTTTGTCAGGGAAGAGTCTATCATGTATCAGTGACATTGTTGCAATCCGGCGAGGCTGTCGTGGAATAAGCCGAACTCCGGCTGCATTTTTGCCAGTGGTGGCCGTTTCAGTTAAAAAGCAACTAGTGGCAAGAAACGCCGCGGGTGGGCTCAGTTTACCCGTTCTGACACTGCCCGCCGGATTGTGACATGGACTGTAACAGAAACACTTCGGGATTGTTCGTGATGTCTCATTTATGGTATTTATTTGATCTTTTAATTCTTGTTATTTATATATTTGATCTTTTGCGGATGTTATGCGTTTGACATATGACCGTCCACGTAATTCTGTTATTTTGATTGTATATGCATTCCATGTCTCGGACATGGAATGGGCGTGACCACGTACCTCATTCGTATATGGCGTGGGATGCGATTTTCATGAGATATTTCCATTTGATGCAGCTGTTATCACGTCTTCAATTTTTGATTCAGTGCTCATGCGCTCACTATTTGTGTGGCTGCTAGTCTAGTCACACTGTTCAACTACTGATTAATTTATTCATTTGTTTAGTTGTTCATTTATTCACTATTACTTAATAGCTTTGAATGAAGCTTGGCCATCAACATAGAAATCAAAGTACCATTCGAGTATGAATTTATGACGAGCTTAAGCAGAACCTAAAAAAAGTGGCCGTGTGCAGGCCTTTTGGTGGGACAAACTATGCAGAAAGTGGCATGGACCAAGGATGAAAGCCGCGTCTCCATATTGTGGATCGTGGCGCAAATTAAGACAAGCCTATAGTCGCTAAGTGACTCTCCTGAAGAAAAAAGGCATAGCCCAGAGGAGATTACCTTAAGGACCCCCTGGCGACCTTACTGTAGGAGTTTTCCACGCCTGATCGTTTTATGCCAGCAAAGCGAGATGCTGCCGTTTCTAGCCCACCAAACTTCTTTGCGTCATCCATGGTGATGCCATCTAAGGTAACAATGAATAAAAAAAAAAAAAACACCGTGTCAAAACCAAACTCGTGTCAGACAATAGCCTCCGAATTTCAGTGGGCGAGAACTAGGAAGGGTCAGACCTGCCACTTATAAGGTAGACCTGCCACTTATGAGGTCCATATACTTCGTTGTGAACTGTGAGGCCACGAAAATGGGATAATCTCAAAGAATGAGGACCAGACTACAGTGCGCAACAGAAGTATGTGGACACCCCAAATTTTGACTCTACAAGATTATTTTTGATTTTGGTGAGAAGGAACCTTCACTGTTCAATTCCTCGGGTACGGAAACCATAGTACGCTTTACTTCGCAGCACCTTGTGGGCGACTTTACCGGAAGTATGTGGACACTTAAGAAAGAAAATTCCGAGATGGAGTCTGGTAGCTCTTATATGCTTTTGTGCTAGTTTGGTCACTTTATCCGGCATGCCCCTGAATGAGGTTCCTCATGGTTTTCTCGTATATAGCATCGCAAGCAGCAAATTTGCCGCCTTGAGGTGATGAACCGCATTGCACTGCCGGCTGTTGTGAAAGACACGCTGAGCCGTGATCTCCTGACGTTTTCAAAATGATAACAGTCAGTAGAACTATGTAAGTAATCCTATCAACACTGTTGTGCAGGAACAACTGCTGGTGCGTTCTGCTGCTGTAGATAACGTTTCCTACACCGCCCATTTCTTAAAAAGAGAGGAATGTGGTACTCGGCCACTTACTCGTATTCCCGACTTTCTATGCTTCATGTCGGAAAGGGCGGCTCCATTTTTCCGCTCTTTTCAAAGCCTCAGCAAAGCCACATGTACATCCAATCAAAATTGCTCTCCGAGGATAGCAGGAGCTACCCAGTAAGGCCACTCTAAAGTCACGAAATCCGTCCGCAGTGTTAATAATGAACTGTTTCTATCCATTAAGATTATCAAACTAGTAAATAATTATGAGATGTTGGCCGTTTCAACTTGGCAGTTTCTCCCCAGACTCCACCTTATGTGATGATGTTGTAGCATTTTCACGGACAAACTCTAATCTTGCCATTTCGTCCTGAGCAGTTAATCTGGAAGCACTCCTCACGTTAGTTTATGAAGCACACTCTTTAGACCGGAGAGAGCCCAAAACGGTATTTCTTGAAGCCGGCAAACTTTTTAAAGCGTCCCTCGACTAACACACCGATAGTTATCTGAGATTACTAGAACTATTCTTCCGTTATTCTAGGCAAGTAGAGAGTCCATATAGTTCTACTGACTGTTATCATTTTGAAAACGTCAGGAGATCACGGCTCAGCGTGTCTTTCACAAGCAGCCGGCAGTGCAATGTGGTTCATCACCTCAAGGTGGCAAATTTGCTGCTTGCGACGCTATACACGAGACAACCATGAGGAACCTCGTCCAGGGGCATGCCGGATAAAATGGTCAAACTAGTACAAAATCATATAAGAGCTACCAGACTTTCATCTCAAAGATATTTTATTTTTCCTTAAGTGTCCACATACTTTGGTACAAAGAAACTTTTCCCAGTAATAAAAAATGTGAAGTCACCCACAAGATGCTGTGAAGTGAGTAACAATAAGGTTCCCATATTCAAGAAATCGAATAGTGGTGGTCTCGTTCCGCCAAAAGCAAAGATGTTCTTGTAGAGTCAGAATTTGGGGTGTCCACATACTTTTTTACGCGCTGTACTAGTACATGAAAGAACCCTGCGGTTTGGTTAAGCGCGGAGACTATTATGAATAACAATGGATGGAACTTTCTCCGTTGATCCTTCTTGATATGTGGCGAGCATTCTACCTGCATCGAAGTTCTAGTGATTTTTGAGTGTGTTGTGTCCTGTACAATGCTTTGCTGAGGTCAAGCGGTGTAGGGCTCGGTGCTTTTTATACTCCCAGACGATTGCGGTACAATTTACCCGATTCCGGAAGAACGAAAAGCTCGGTCGAAGCGCTCGTAAGCCAATTAGTATTTCCCTCATGCGTGGTAGGCGTCATTTGCCACTAGACCACCTACGTCCTTTTTAGTGATTCCATACAGGACAAGGAGCAGATCTGGATATCACTTTAGGTGAACTCAAGCAGAAGCTTGATTGGTTAAGATTCATTGAGCCGAAATATTGAGGTGATGGCAGAAGATAAAGGCTTAGTCCGGCTACCGTTTCCCAAGGGACCGCGGACTTGATCCAAGCGAAATATGTACCCAGGCCTGCTTACCCCTATTCTGACTTGAAGTCATAGTTTAAGCTGGCCTTATGGGTGGGTGAGGTATCCCATCGTTCCTCCCATATTAGACACTCCTTCCTGGAGTGATAATAGAAGGGAGCAGCAATGAGACAGCACACAATGCAATGCATTGCTACGCCCTTTCGTTCAGTGAGGACTGCCTATTTGATCACTGAACGAGCATAGGAGAAACAGTCTCCCTTTTCTTTTTTTCTTTTCTAATGGAGTGGTCAGGAAATACAACAGCTGGTTGATGCTACTTGTTTTGCACCGTATTGGACCTTTGCTCGGCGGTACTCCATGTTCCTAAAAAGTTCCCCCGTACCCTGTTTACTGCAGTACTTGGTCATCTGACGATTGCCCTTCGATTGCACTATGATTCTATTATTATTGTGTTTAGTAGCTATCATTCAGGATTATGACATCTCATCCATTTCCTGTTCATTTGACTAGCGTAGAACAGGTTCTAATTGAGCGTCCTTGGGGCTCTTCAACATCGTTACACTCTGCTCTACTCTGCTATTATAACGTTGACCTTTGACCAAAGGGTTGAGGGGCACTTTGTCTATGCCACGAGTAAAGTTAAAGGATCCCGACTGCACTCTCAGAATTCAAAAACAGAAACGAACAAAAAAAAACAGTTTGCTTAGTGGCGAACAAAATACATGAAAAATCGCCCCAAATACGGCCCTTCATCCTGCAAGAGGCCATGATCACTTGATGAGCATAAGCTGTTTTGGACTCCAGTGGGCGAGAGGCGACGATATGCTGAAGACATGGGAGGGAAATTAGAAAGTGAGGGGGAAGAATCCCAACGACACCTTCACGACGAGCCGAGCAACGCAGGATGGCATGGCCTTATCGCCATGCCATCCTACGTTGCTCGGCTTGCCTCTCGAGCTTGCCATTTTCAAGTTTTGGAAGGAGTAAGGGCCTAGTAAGGGTCTGCCGTAACGGGCCGAATCGTCTTGAACATTTAAGAGGTTTAGCCTCATTCTCTCGCGGGCTGGGCCCTTAAGTCAAGAGAAGGACAGTGAATCTAATAACACATCCCGTGATTACTTGATACAGTAGTGTTCAAAAGTACAGAAAACAGGGACTTCCCAGATGCAGTAGCATTCAGAAGTACGGAACACACACACTTTCCAGTGTTTGACCCAGAGACCCCAACGTACATTCAGTCATCAGCTTCACGAGCTAGGTTAAAAGGCTTGCGCACGACATCGCCACAAAGGAGGTCTATGTGATGCTCCCGACCAGCGCAATATATGCGCCCCCGTCGAAGCGAGATCAA